ACTTCAAGTTGGTTAAATTGAAACTCTGTTCATCCCATAACACACTATTTAAAAATTTGAAAGTTTAATTTGGAGTAATGATTGCTATGCAGACTTTGTCTTTTCACAGTGGGAAGACATGACGCTACCACTGTGATCCACAAGTCAACTACCCTCTGACAGCTACAAAGCCTGACATTTCTGCATGCCTGTTGCTGCTGTTGACCCAACTGAAGCCTGCTGACATTTTTGGTGACAACGTGACTGCAAAAGAAAGGTCTTGTGACCAAACTGCACACGTAAATTTGTGAGTATAACTTTTTACTTGACTCTGTAAAACTTATGAACTTTCATTAGGCCTGCGGTAGCTCAAATCAGGATATCTTAAAGGTTTTATCCATTCCCTTGAGGTTTGGGTGAGATGTGTAAATTGAGGCATTATAGTAGAGATGCCACAGGGTCTGCTTGAAAAACTGAATCCTGGCAAATAACATTGAAGCCACGGCTGAGTGCAGTAAGCAGAGTGCATAACGACAGGGGTCCTCTTCCATTACAACCATGTTCAGTTCCGCTTACTTTTCTTCTTTGATTCCATGGCTTTTCAGATGTCCGTTCCATTTACCGGTACATGTAAAATTCTACATTTTCCATATTTTGACAAAATCTGTTGCATGAAGTACACGTATTATTGTGAAATTTTTAACTCCAAACTGTGCACTGTTACGTTGCTGCATGGTTGTAGATATCCATCAACAGCTCGGCGCGGCCTGCGAAAACACACGTGCACAGCCATGACGTAGTTAGTTCCCGACTTGTTATACAGTACACAATATTCCTTTTCAAACAATCACTGCAAATGGGAACCACTGACTGACATGATAGACTTGAATTCAAGGCTGTCATGGCTGTGTGATAAATGTGCTCGGCATGCTAAATGCATGGCGCAGTGCAGCAAGCACAAATCGACTCACACACCAACAAAAGATACATGTACGTGTTCAGACAGTTCACTACACCGTGCAGTAATTGGTATGTGTGGCACTGCTGGATTTCTTGTCATTTTGACAATCAGGCAGACCAAAAAGCCTTGTTTTTAATGCTACTACAGGGAAAGAGCTGTACACATGCATGCCCATCACTGAACTGGAATTCATAGGTGAAAATCAACCCATTCCCATTTGTACTTTCTTTTCTGGCCTTTTCTTTTGAGCCCGAAGGGAAAAATGGAATTTCAGGGTCTGTTTAAAAAAAGAAAACCGGAAATCTCGATAAAACCGGAAATATGGCATCTCTGTATTAGATGCACAGTACATGTATATGTCTTTTTCTACTTGTACACATGCACATGGTAGCAGGCCCTGATGAAGTCTTTTTAGCTCGCCTCAAAATAAAATGTGCGCATATGTACATTTATGTATTGAGGTGCCCAAGGAAGGTTCCAGGGCCAGTTCTACATGTACATGTACATCCTAGGAACTGATGAATCACTTTTGTAATTCATGCACAAATTTTGGGCATTCTGTGTTTCAGGTGCTGGTTGCATTGGTTCAACCTGTGGTGAACTTTACAACCAAGGATGGAATTTGGAACATTAACGGGAGTACCTATTACTTACTTCTTATTCAGGGCCTCAACAATCTTTTCTGAATTCAACATGTGTCTGATGGCTTCCTTCAGCTTTGGTAACATGGATAGCACTGTCATGTTGCAGGTACGCTGATTACTGTCAAAGTGATGTTGTCTCCTAGCCATTGCTAGGCAGTCTTTGGTCTCCTGATCTTTCCACTGTTGTAGCTTCCACTGTGCAAATTTCCAAAGTAAAACTGCACCTACAGGATAACAACCAAGACTTGTAATAAATACAATCAATTTCATGTTGAATTGGTAATACCAACTTTGCATGGACTCAACATGCACATTAATCTGAGATGGTGAAAGGGTTCTTTCAATTTGCTAGGGATGTCCTGAGAAAACTTGTCTATAAACGTATTGTATATTCAAACCAACTTTGTAAACAATGTGGATTTACGGTACAGGTAGCCTACAGACAGAGGAGCTAGTGTAATGAGTTTGTTCTTCAGACCTTTAGTATGCATAATTTTCTGGCTGCTTAGAAAGTTGTATGATGTTTGCAGACTCAGCACATTGCCATATTAGCACAACTGCAAAATATCCCTCTACCTGCATGATCCACTTTGTTGCCCCCTGAGTTGAAGAGCACCCTTACCACCGAAAGAAAGACAGATCACACAAAGTTTTCCAACTGGGTTTTTGCACGCATTCGGCATGCATGCGAAGACCATATATTCCAGAATTAAATTTGTTGGAAGTACTAAGCGTGCTCCGTGTCAAACACGCATAAACTCACAGTCACATGTCTATGCGATGAGTCCGGTACACGTACCCAAGAACTGTCAGTTTCAGATAAGGTCAAAATGTCACACTTGACTGCCCTCAATAAACTTTCTCAGTTCACCTCACGTAGACATTCCATGTTGTAGAGCTGCCAACAGAGTACATGTACATGCACCAGTACATGTAGTTGGTTTGGACTTGCACTTTTTTCAACAATCCCCATTCATATTTGTGTTGCTTTGTTCTCAGAAAGATCCCCAATTGGACTTGATTTTTTTTCTTTCAGCGACTGCAACCGCATAGCCAGTGATTTTGGGGGTTTATTTTCAAGTGGCAGGGTATTCTACAATTACTGCAGTTTAACTGTGTCGGTCAAACATGTTAATTAAAAACCACTTCTGGTGGAAAGTCTACATGTCTTCAAGTTCAACAGCTACTATGCTAAGGAACTTGTGCATATGTGTACACAGTAAAATCTCGTTAAGTTGAAGCTCAGGGGAATGGACGAAAAGTTGGAGTTATTCGACGTTCGAGTTATCAAAAGCTACATGCTTCAGTGCACATGCAACCTTACTGGCTTACGGAAGTTGGCCTGCAAGCTGAGTCGAACATGAAGTGGATTTTAGGCTATACCTACTGTGCAAGTTTTCCTCAAACATCATCATTAAACATGTTTTCATGTGGTACATTAATAAACAATAACCCAATAAAGTTATGTACTGGTACCTGTGTCTACCGGTACTTCTTGCGAATTCATTTATTTGCCTTGTTTGATCGGGCTGTTACCGCATAACGCAGCGCGCGGGCCAGTCGGTCAAGGTTTCCATGCTTGGTCACATGATACATGTACAAAGCGCTTGAGGGCGCATCATTTGTGCCTGATTTATTTTACGGTTGCGGTTGATGCCCACCCAGTGCTTGTCGACGTGACAATGGCTGCCCGTGTGAACATGCTCGGCTCATTGAAGAAAAGCTGTGCGCGTGACAGTAATGACTCATAATGAAGACAAGCATTCTTCCATCACTTTTTATTGATCATTCTTCAGTGTTTTCTTTTTAATTGGCCTGCCAAAAACTTTGAGATAAGTGGCTTTGGCGGTATTGACGTTTCGAGTTACAGATAGTTTACTGTACATAAAGGCCTATTGAGATTTTACTGTATATACATATATATAAAGTTGTACAGGTATATACACATGTATATATGTATGTATACATAAATGAAGTTATAGACTTATGTATACATAAATGAAGTTATAGACTTCAATTGTCTATAAAAAAATTACGACACTCCAAGCGCTGATCGTATCAAAATGACAGTTCGCTGCTCCCATTGGAGTTAATTATCAATTGTATGGAGGAACTATATGTAGCTGCAGTACCAACGAATGAATTCTGGCTGTTTCTGCATTATGGCTCGGACTGTTGGAAGGAGACTAGTCTATGATATCACAATGTGATGCCAATGTCCAACTGTGAGGGTGACAAGCAAATTTGTTGCCCAGTCATGTGATTATCCTTGGCAAATGAAAATATAGTATTCAAGACAGAGGTACAGCAATCATATTTGACAACATTATTCAGCATGTGATGCCGTATCATTGTACAATGCAGAGACTACATGTACAGCTTTGCTGTTTTTTATACGAGTCTTACGTGTATCACAAGGTTTCCATGCAGGGTGCTAAACACAGATGGCCAGTATACAATTTTGGCATACTGCGTGTGTTGCCTTACGTTGCTTCACAACTTGGGACATGACAGAACGCCAAGGACCAGTGGATGGTATGCAGTGTCCACAGGGCCACCCCACGTGCAACACAGTACAAGGCTACAAGAGTGAGGCAGCATGCACAATGACAATGTTTTTCCAGCAGACAGGCACTTTCCATATTTGTCTATTCATGTTTTGTTGGTGAAACATTAGGAACATTTTATCGGTAGTTCTTCTGATTTTAAGGGCCAGTCATACGAAGCCTTCAAGAGGTTTAAATTTATGACAATGATGAACACTCAGAAAAGATGATGGTTACAAGAAAGTCTTTGGTTGTACATGTACATGTACATTACACTGAAAAGGTGTTTCACATGTAGTTCTACAAATGTACAGTACATGGAACTCAGTTCATGGCTTCATGCGCAAGTGGCTGCCTGATACAAGTTTACATTATGATGGCCAGGATGCCAAATCATTGGATGCTGAGTTGGCTACACATGTACATGTACATGTAGGTGCCAAAGTAAATGAAATTCTATACAAACTCACACAGCTGCTCACACAACTCGGGTCAATACAAATCTGATTTTCTTGCTTATAAATATAAAAATACATGTATATTGTCAAAATTTACCAAAACTAGAGCTACTAGGATTAAGGAATAGATCCTCAAGGTCTGAATGCCAATTAGGCCTAGATTGAAAAGTGGACTTTGTTTTCCTTATTGAAGGAACAGGGTGCTAATGGTAATGAACGCCGGAGCCTAGCCCAGTTTGGACGACGTCTGCATAGCAATTAGCATTGCAACTAATGTACAGAGTATAAAGTCCTCCTACAATGCGAAATTTTTGCAACAGTTTTTTCTCACATTTTTACCTGACAAAGACTGCGCAAATGTCGTTCAAAAGTGCTTTGTATCCCGAAATAATGCTGCGATGAAGTTAATAAATACACCCGCATAGGGCCTGCAACATGTTTTGCAGCAAAATTTGAGAAAATCCACACTTTGCGTCACATGTACGTGTACGTTCGTTTATCTAGCACATGTACTCACACATGCGTGAAAAGCAGAGCAACCGAGTGCCTCTTACGCATGCACAGAAGAGCCGTGAAGAAGCCACAAAAGGCCGTGTCCAAACGGGCTTCCAAAGATACGGCTAGGTCTATTTTCTGGGCATCTCCACGTACATGTATTTCTAATGGAGTGAAGACCTAAACCTACAGTAGCTCTTAACATGCACTGATAACTGACAGATGTGGGCCACTTCATGCATGCACAAATCTGTACTAGGCCTACTGCACAAACGAAGATCGTTTACGAATCGTGACTGAAAGCGTGGAGTTTCAGAACATTATCTGCAAAATACATGTAGGCCTGGGATACCTACGTTGTTCGCGGCGTATTTAGTAATTTCATCAAAGCATTTATGGAATTCGGGATACAAGGCACTTGTGAACGACATTTGAACTGTCTTCATCAGGTAAAACTGTGAGAAAAACTGTTGAAAAAAATTTTGCAGAGTAGGAGGACTTTTACCCTGGACGTTAGTCGCAATTCAATGTAGACATGGTAGACGTCGTCCAACCATGGTCCAACCTGCCATACATGTACCTAGGCTAGCTGGAACCTTGACCTTGTTTTGTTATGATAATAAACCTTGATTCTGAGTTACTTACCTCCAAAAACCGCGCCTGTGACAAAAAATTTTCGCTTGTGTCGTCGCAAGAAATTCTTAATTGATTCCCACATGCCTGTGAAGATTTGAAGTCCACACGCTTATTATTCATTGCTCTCCGTGTCAACGCTTAATTGAAGATGGCGCTCGACGCCTGCCTTAAGCTTACAATACTTGACCCGTGGGTTGCACTCATAGACAAATGTGCCGGGTTGCACAGTACCAAATACGAGACCGAAATAGCGCCGCCTGTTGACTCGAGGGAAGAGGTTGGCCACAGTTTTTTTCGCTGGCAATTCAAGATTATGGCCATAAGGTCACTTTTCGTTTCAATTTTATGGGGGTTAGCCACGAAAAAAGAAATTTATTTGCCTTTCCCCGAAGTACCCCTAAAATAGAAGGAACACTATGCGCTCAGCTCTGAATGTAGCCGCAGCCGACTCTATCCAAGCGGCCCGCTTGGTAAAAGATATACTGGAAACTACCAGTCCCGAATTCGGGAGTTATAGAAATTTTTCTGTGATCAGTCCCAATTACGGCATTGTAAAAACCCCGTGGGATAACAAAATATTAATGAGCTCGCGCGCAGAAATCGAACGATTTAGTGGAATGCACCCATAGAGCTACATGTAGCTAATTAAGGGACCGACCAATAAATCACTGGCAGTTGCTATAAACAACAGTGATAAATATCCCCACTTCAAAAAATCAGGAAAAATACTCACAAGTTTTACTTTCTGAAATACAAGCTGACAGTCCTGCCCCTGCATTTCATCCACCTTTTTAACAAACCACCCAGCCCACGTGCCATGAAAGCTCCGCTGAGAGAATTTGACAGCATATAAATAGTGATTTGGTCCGCACAGGCAATTTTGGACTTTTGCGTAATCGTGTGTTCCTTCACTCCTTTGTTGTTGTATTTTCTCTGCTCAGTCGGAAATTTCCCTCCACGTGGCTGCGTGGATGCATGGAGGACCTTCCTCCATGGTGGATGGGAGTGGTAAATATTCAGAAACCTAAGACTTCGTAACTATCAGTTCGATTCACCAAAGAGACCGGGTTAGCACTTCACGCACCCGTCTCCACACTTTGTACACTTCTTATTCTGTAGCTTTTTACACACGACAAATTCTTTCGCACGACTCTTGAAGGAAGTCATGTGACCCTTTGAGATGGAAGATTCCCACTGGTTGAGCTGTTCAACGACGCCCATATTTCATTAATTCCTAAACCTCTAAGAATCCTATAAAATAGCAGATTTTCCGTAGCTTCGGTCAGATGCGACCAAGCCCTTGTGCGGAGCGAAACCTAACGTAGTGCGGCGGTTGGACCCTTTCCTTGTGGCGAAGAAATGTAACCCTGTGAATGCCCAGCTAGCTTAGCTTGGACCGATGCGAGAGCGGTACGAACTAGCCCAGGGTGCTAGTGAGAGTCGTAGCGGCCCGTCACCGCTTCGTCCCAACCGATTGCCGGGCGAGACACCCCCGTGTTCCTCGCTACCCTTGTCCTACTAACTAGCCCCGGTCCTCCCCGTCTCCTCTCTGAGCCAATGGTAGGCCTACACAGTGCGGCGATGCTATCATTCCGCTCATCACATTGCAGTCTGAGCGGCAGTGCGGTCGGTACAATGACCGCTGGCCCCGTCCAGCTGGTCACCGTGGTGGCCCGGGACAGCTCTCAGGCCCACCACGGCCCGATGAGAGCAGCCTAGTACTGCAATGCTACACACCCGCGCAGTACCCGTCGAACTTGCATTTCCAGTGGTCCTGCCAAACCGTAGTTCGGTTATACTTGTATGCAACTTCGCCTCTATAACTCTGTCTTTCATGTGTTGTGTTATGTTAAGCTACACCTTCTTCAAACCCACATTGAACTTTGATGAAGAGAGGTGAGAGCAATAAACCAACTACATGTATACAGTTTGACAGTCAAACCCCTTGATATTTAGGGAATGCAAGAGAGTTTTATTTCATTGGAGAAACTGTTTATCGTGTAAATATATTTTGTACCTTATCCAGTTAATTTGGAGAGCCTCTCCGTCGACAGAAACTCGTTTCTTTTAGGCAATCCAGTGGGAGCTAAGTGGATATTGTGTATTTATTCAGATAGATGGCAATGGACCCACCTTGGCTGATTATGCAGGGCCGGTTTTCATACACCTGCACGTGTTTCTAATTCCGGGTCAGTATAGCAACAGTCCTGAAGATAAAATATAGTTACACCATACCAGAGTCCAAAGGATTCAACCCCACTACCCCCCTATATGAAGGACACGCACAGGCATGGGTGTAAGTCATGGGGGTGGGTGGGGTATATACCCCTACGTGTATGCACTGCACAGGACACAGGATCTTGGACTGTCCTCAAGGCTTAAATCAGGGTGTCTTGGGTGCCCAGCTTTGCACGTGTCTGGTGCCAGAAGCTGGCGGTCCCAGGGCATACAGCCCAAGTGGTAAACTGTGGCCTATAACAGAGAGCCAACATCAATTTAGGCACTCGGGCATGGAGAGATGAAACAGACACTCCAATCCTATTGAACAAAACAAATTAGGATCCTCAATTGGATGCTCCAGTCAGATTTCTCCAATTGTATGCCAGGAGCACAGACATGTCTCAAATAGGTGGAGTGGAAAGATTGGCAGTGCTTGCCGTAGGCTGGCTAGTTCAATAAAGTGGTGATATGGCAGGAGAAGGACCAGCCGATATACTTTGTGGTCCCTGGCTAAAATGTATGTTTGTGCCCACGTGGCACTCCTATAAAGTTTTAGGGGAGCTGGCTCTTACCCATAGACCTCAAAGAAGACATTGAGTGAGGGGTCAGTCAACCCACCCAGTTGACAAGGGAAAGAGCCATAAATCACACGGCAAAAGGCTACTGACAACAGACATAAAAGTATCTAAGACCAAAAAAAAGAGAAAATGATCTTAAAGGAAAAAGTAGGGAGTGTAACATACACAGGAATATATACACAATGACACATACGTGTAACTAGTAACCTGGACCTAAATCGGGCCAGGGTTACACTTTTAATGGCATACATATACCAAACAAGACAGGAAATGAAATAAATACATTTAATATACTAGATTTGTCAATTTCTAATGGGAAGAAAAAGCAAATGGAATTTTTTTTTATCAGTTTGAAAAGCCACCAAAAAAACTGAGAGCTAGCTGGCCATACTTTTGTAACCAACCGACCGACCAACCCACCAACCAAACCAACACCAAAAGAAACAAAACAGTTTGTTGGCAGCCCTTATATGTGTCCTTGTGTATCTACCGGAGTATCTGCAGACATTTTCAACAAACACATCTTACACAACTGCTGATTACAACTGTATTCAGAGAAGTTGCCACTGCTGGCATTCTACAGACAAAATTATATAAATATGAACAAGAAATGGGGATCACTACTGCTGTCCCCTAAGACAATTAATTAGAAAACAAGACAAACTTCAACAGAGTGGGTTACTAATGCTTACCCCCAAATAACAAGAACCAAAACGTCACAGGTAATAACTGCTAACCTGTGATATATCTGTGGAATTCAAGGAAAACACAGAGGCCAGGTCCTGCATGCATTCCTGAGATCACCCACTGGCATAGTGCAAGGGACCTGCCAGCCTACACATTGAAGACAATGTACCATCCATAGCTACTTGTAGTTCCTGTACTGCTGCCACACCAGCAATGTAGAGGGCCACTGCATGTAGCTGGGGTCCCAGTACCTCAAAATTAAACTGAATGCCCAGAATTGTGGAAAGTAAATCTTACTTAGACAAGCTTCATAAGAACATTGCAAATCTGGCTGTGTATGAATGAACTTGTCACAGAAACTAAAACTTGCCCAGGAAAATGAATAGCACCTCACCCAAAGGTTTATCTTCTTGTCTGAAGTGCAATATTCTTATTTTAGAATAATCATTACAACTTACAAATACAAGGCACAAGAAAATAATGATCCAGTTTGGCATTCCAACAGCGCATGTCCAAACTAAAATTCATCCAAGGCTGTTCAGAAACAGCAGCATGTGTGATAGTATGTCCTGTCAGTGCTGCCATAGGCCAACTCACACACATGCTGTATCCTGAAAGACATTGCTTTCAGGAAATAACAAACTAGTTCATTGTAATGAACACGTTTATCTGGCCAGGTCTTACAAATGAATTGTATGGTAATTTTGTCAATAATTTTGTTTTAGTTAGCAGAAGACAGAACAAACAGCTCTTTGATTTGATGTATCATTCAGTTTGGCACCCTTTTCATATGAAACTTGTCATGTTGGTAAAAAATGCTAAGGGTTTCTTTTAATTCACACTGCACAAGATTCATTTAAAGGCATTTAAATACTAATTTTGCCAGGTTAAGTCTTAGATGTTAATTTCTGATGTCATACAATGATTACTAAACCAACCTGCTTACAAAATGCTTCCTACATGCCACATCATTTAGTTTCACTGCTGAATGTCTTCTGGAAAACAATCTTATACAAACATCAAATGTGACAATACTCAATGAGATCCACTCCTGCATGTCACATATGCAACCGCCCTATAATCAGTCATAAAAAAGTACAAAACACTGCAAGCATTTATACTGTATGTTTTGGACAGAATTTTTTATGATTATTTGCTACATATTACAATAAATTCCTTTGTAAAATATTTACACACACTCAATATTAAAAGACCGCACATTTAAATCAGATCAATATCAAAAGGGAATGTGAATTTCTATCTGATTCATTACCTCCAAAAATAAATTCATTATACATGAAATCTTAAACCAAAAAATTAAATGTACAAGAGTTGAAGGCCTCTTGGCCTGTGACTGTAGGTAAACCCAAGCCCATCCTATTTCACATTTAACAACCAGCATGTGCACACTGAAAAGAGATGGGAAAAAATCTTCCTCCTTTGTGTTTTACATAATTATTATAACATCTAACGCAGGAACGGCCAATCACCGATAACTGTAATGCTCTAATTCTGGACAGTGCATTGCTGTGTTATTTGATATTGTAAATGAGCAACACCATCTTGAAATTAATGCAACAAACCTTATAAATTAAGACGGTAAAATATAAAAATCTATGGAAGTTCTTTCAGTCATGGAAATTAAATCGCTTAGTATTCGGATAGGTGTCCTCGGCATAGGTTGTTTGACAGAATGCAGACTATTTCACAATGAATTTGATTAGAGTTTTTCAATTTGCTTCTGGCATGTCATATCATCCTACAGATAAGCATGTCCAATTAATTTTTAACAGGAAAGGAGAAAGGTTATCACAGAAATATAACATTAACCCACAAGCAAAGGACACTTTTGGAATCATTTCCAACCACACTTCTGTCTTTGTCCAGTACTATCAGCTGGCTGTGAACTACATGTATTCTGTTATCAAATTATACCCAGTTTAGAAGCGAGGAATCATCTTTCTTAAAAATCAGCATAGAAGGTCACCATTATCAAAGTGGACTAGACTGGAGTGGACAAGATGTCCGGTCCATTTGAAATTGTACCATAGGCATTTTGCACTGCATCAACCTTCATATAGTAATGGTAAGTGTTCCAGACTGCAGCTCATGCTTAAGTGTCTTGGCCCCACCTTGATGAGCCGCTGGCTTAAGTCCTTCCTCTTTCTGTCTGGCTATGTCTTTTACTTCTTCTATGGTAGCTGAGGCCTTCATCAAGAGATAAAGTACACACAGATAAAGGTAACGTTCACAAATTAACCACTTTCAAACGACTGACAGAAGACTGTAAACACACATGACAATCTTTGGCAGAGTTTTAGCGCTATGAAAAAAGATTAGCTCGGTGAAAAAAACAAAACCTCCTCCATGGTCTAGAGTTCTTGCTCACTGCAAGTAAGACTTTTACAATGAACTTGCAACGGGTTCAGGAAATGGTAGCCTTGCACAAAAGTTAAAATGCCACCATAAGTATTTATACCATACATACATGTAATTCAGAGGACAAAGAAAAATGAGGAGGAATAATGAAGGATTAGTTTATAAACAAAGACTGGAGTTAAGATTCGTAAATAAATGTTGAATGCTTATGAGTGCAATGGTAAAATTAAATTCATGAGGAGACAATTGGAACGTTAACATATAAATGCTCACCTCATCAAACTATTTTGTCATCTGCATACATGTGAATTAATTTAAACAAGTGGATGTGAATGTCATAACTAAACACTAGGGCTGTGCCAAATACGAAAAAATTCGATTGATTATCTAATATTCAATTTTTTTTTAATATGAATAATCAAATGCAAAATTCATAATACAGAAGAGAGAGATCTCTTTTTAAAAATCGCATTATGGAGGCTTGTTTCAAACAGATTCCAGACACTTAAAGGCAGGTGATATGCCCAACAGCCCAATATAAAATCAATCCTGGAATACGGCAATAGCTTTTTAAAAATAAATGTGAATGTGCCAAGATTGTATTTTTTGTGATAATGATGTACTGATGCAAATTTTGTTGAAATAAAATATGATGAAATCTTCATGACAATATTTCAACTTCAAATCGAATGACTGAAGGTGCGCAGAGAAAGGAGGCTGCATCAAAATAAATTTTAAGTAGTCTCTTGATAACCACAAAATTGTGGTGTTGGAGGCATTCTTTTCTTGGAATAATATTATCAAATCTTCACTAAATCGTGGCTTGACATAGTCCTAAATGTGAGAAGCTATAATAGTGATTATAATGTACAGTTGCGAGCATTATTGCAACTGATTTTGTGTATGGTTTGGTAAAAAATCTGCCAGCCGGTACGACCTAATATTTGAATATTCAATTAAATTGAAGGTTGAGTATTCAAATAGTCAATAATTTGAATTGACTCAGCCCTAATTGACACAAGGCTTGATTAGGTCCTGGAACATTTGATAAACATGTAATAAAACTTACCCATCACTGAAACATTTAACAAACATTTTTGCGAGGCCATGTATTGAAAATGTCAAATTCAATAAATTTCATGACATGGTTAATAACACAAGAAACATGCCAGTCACTCCAGTGGTAAACCGTGGTATACTGTTTTAAAACAAGGCTGGATTATCTCCACTATTGAGAGTGAAAAAATGTCGGTAATGCTCAACAGCCTGATGTTTTGTTCCGAGTACGGTCTTTTGTTACAAGGCCCAGTTCCCTTTGTCCAATTTCGGAGACCCCAGCCATGCATATAAACACACAGTGCCCAAAACCGGAATCCCCAGCAGGAAGTGGTTAAAAGGAAGAGTGCTGTGTGTTAATCATTGGGGGAGGAACAGTGTTACAGTCTTATGAACACAATGACCGTGCTGACCATGAATCAAACATTTTATCATAAATGGTTGTATAAAATGGCTCTTCTGCACTGTTTTTGTGAGTGTGTGGGCAAGTGTAAGTGTACAAGCCACTTTGTTTTTGGAAGAATAATTTCACAAGGTGATGGTGATGATAAGTGAAATGGAACATCCAACTGTTACTGAATAAAATCACTCCTATTGGGCAAATGTGAACACACACTATTTGTTAAAACTACGCGTTTATTATGTTATTAAGAAATAAAACAAAACAGACTTCCTGCTCTGTACACATGATCTTACCCAAGCATAGAACACTGCAGCTCCAGCGCTCACATCTCTGACTTGCTCCAGATCAAACTCCTCCAATAGATTCTTTGCTCGTTCGGCTGCTGCAACAGAAATCTTGGTAGGATCACACTGCAGAACACGACGCTTCAATCCGTCCTTGCCCGTCTTACCAACCAAAGCTTGCATTCCTTTCCAATCCTTTACAAATAAACAATTCAATAAGTTAACATGTAACATCTAAACTTCAACAAATACTTTGTACCCATGACACTCCAGTTAAGCTCTAAGGGATAAGTAACTTCATTTTCCTTTTAATTTCCTAGATTTTTAAGATAAGGTTTTAAATCTTATAATTAAACTTCATAAATATTCTTTAGAATTTTACTGGTCCATTCCCAGAGCTCAACCATGTGATAGTGTTTATTTCTTCTGGGGAGGAACTATCACACATTTGAGTCATAGCCATAAGTTTTCCTAGTACAGCACAATATTTTAACAACTGGGCCAATGTGGAAGTCCCAGCCATTTATGTTCTAGCAAGGAGTTTTCAAAGGCGATCCATGACCACCCGTTCTTGTTTTGTTGGCATTTAATCCTATTATTAAGGACTTAAAATCTAATAAGAATACATGGTTATGACTTCAATGTACAGTGTGTTAATACTTTGGCACTTACTGATGATTTTTGTTTGATCACATCAACCCAGCGGACTCAGCAAAGATTTGACAAAAACATTTTTGAGAAAACTCTGTCTCATATTGGAGAACCCCCCTCCCAACTGTTAATAAAGATAAACCAGAGCAATTTCTTGGGTCACATATTACCTACTATGCTTAAACTCAAGAGACCTACAAGATAATCTTTGATAAGGATAGCACGCTAGGGAACATGGAAAGTTGTCTTGTAAGACCAGATACACTGCAAGTGTTGACAGAATATGTTTGCCTTCACTGAGACATTCTTGAGTGTACATTCTCACAGAGACTCAACTTTATGATCTTGATGCTCTTCAGTCAAGATTTATTAAGAAATGTCTAAATGTTGCTGAACATGGTGCCACACCAGCTGTTCTCTACTCCAACCAACTTATTGATAAAAAGGATCTCAGAACTTTATGTAGCACACTCTACTTTGCATCAACTTTTATAAAAGGCATTGCAAAAGTGGCACATGCTTTGTCCACCACATCTGATTGCAAAGGTCAGGTGGACCAAAAGAATGAGGAGATATCCAAGTCCTTCTCACACACAGGGGGCAGAAACTCAGTAAGGAGTAGAAAGGCCATACAGCGAACACCAATCTGGGAAGCACAGTCAATATCCCAGAGCGTTGAAGGGTCTTGTCACCAAATGAAATACTGGACGTATGCCTCATTGGGCACACTTTATCTTAACAGCCTCAGGGTGATTGGGTACCGAAAAATAAGTATCGTAATCACCCGCCTGGAAGTTAAAATACAAGCGAAAATGGTTGTTGCAGTACCACCTGTCGGCCTTCGCAGGCTTATCCATGGCTTCCACTCATGAGCAGTCCAGAGGAAGCTTAGGAAAGAGAGTATGAGAGGAGAAAGACGATCCTGGTGTGTAACGCTTGAACGAGGGGCGACTCTGATCTTCCGCAGGAGGAGCAGGAGAGAGAAGTCCCAAAACCTGAATATTTTTCCTTGGAGCAGGCCAAGGCAGGACTCCAAATGAGACAAATCATTTACCCAAACTCTCTCTTCCTCATCCTGTGACTGACCTGAATCAGAGACAAGTAGTGGTGGGTCAGGGCCAGTGGAGGGATCAAGGAACGGGCCTCAACGGACGCTGGTTGAAAAGGCTGAGGAGAAAAAGGTAGATCCCACTGCCCTATAAGGGACACCGAACGGTCTGGGCGTGGGAAGTAAGGATCCAGATTGGGATGCATAGTGGCTGGAGGATGAGTATAATGCTGAATAAGCATCAAGACAGACTCTGTCAGGGCTTGCAGTGTATCTTTGGTAGACAGAGATCCTGATGATCCTTTGCTTTTTTTCCTCTCAGAAGAGTGGACGGAAGACAGAGTGACCGAGAGACTTGCACTTCTGCCCCACTTCTGTTAATTGAGAAGAATCTCGCATGGGAGAAGAAATTGTGGATTCATTCCACTGTACCGAAGCCGAAGAATGACCTGCAAATGCCACACCCTGTGGAAGGGGATCAGCAATAGAGGGAGGCCAAAAGCAACAATGTCATGGTAAGCCGGAGGGCTCGGTGTCCCGAGGTGAAGAGTAGGCCAGAGAGGTCAGAGTGGGCCTGGTCCCGGATGCTGAAACAACATTTGGATCTCAATCGGAATGGGAATGGGCCGTAGCCACCATCCTGCTAGGCGCAGTGGTTGGACAAAAAGCCATTACCAAAAGGCAACCAACCTCAAAGGATAAAGGAACACTAGAGCGAGAAGTAACCTAAACAGTCGAGTGGGCCATGCTCAGTCAAACTTGACAGTGAGGAGTTAAAATTCCACGGTGACCAAAAGCAGTGAAGACCTGGCAGCAACCATATGCAAGGTACAAGGGTACTCTCAAAATTCGGAGCTGGAGCAAACACATCTGTGGCACTAAGAAAAAGAGGACCAACATGGCTGACACCTTCGCCAGGGTGAGTGAGTTGGGGTGCAATACTGGTAATCAAGAATTTAGCAAATGGATGTAATGGACTCGGAAATAATGCATATGTATTGGTAATCTGCAATGGTTGCAGTCAGTAGACTTGGCCGATTCGAGTTGGCAAATTTGATGGCCGAAACTGCCCACCTGGCTACAGTGTCTCTGGTCCCTGCTCAGTGTGGTTTTTATTGTTGTAATTAAGAGCTGCGAAGTTGAATCTCTGAGCTCTCTAGTCCTCGCTAGGTACCATTTAAGAGTTCGGACTGGGCACCAAGGCTTGTCATCTGGGGGCCCAGTGTGTTTAGTAATGCTCGGTACAAAAATATCAGGAGGGTGAAAGGAAACTGACTGGTTCTTGGTGAGGAATCCCAAGGCTGGGATGAGGTGAGCACCATGGGGTTCCAACTGGATGTGGCCATCAGCAGTAGATAACGCTTTCAGTTTACTGCCTCAATGTGATGTAGTAACTGCCAGTAGATATGCCAGCTTCACCATCAAGTTGAGTAGCGATGCTTTGCTGAGAGGTTCAAAGGGGAGGGGGGGGGCTGGTGAGCAGATGAAGCACAGCTGAGCAGGTCAAAGGAAGGAATTAATCTGAAGAAACATCCCTTGGAGAAGGTGTTGTCGGTGACCATCGAACCATCAGAAAAACCACTGTGAATAGCTGCAATAGCCGAATGGTAGTTCTGGATGGTCGACACCTGTATGTCTGACTTGAACAGATGCATGAAAAAGTCAGCTATGGCAGTTACAGAGACTCAGGTCAGGTGTAGGGACGCCGGGTGATGCTGTAGTACAGCTGATGTCGGTTGGTAGAGTAAATCTGGTCTGGCGGGAAGGACAATTGGCATCTGCAAGAAGTGAGGCAACTGAGCATTTGGATACCACCTGCTCTTACCCTCAGTCCCTGATGTGTGGCGTGGCTAACCCTACAACGGACAGGGAATGGTTCTGCCAGTAGGTGTTAGTGTGGAATGTCAAGTACAGCATGTAATGCCACTTGTTATTCGCAGACCGATTCCTGTCAGTTTATAGGGGAGAGACGGGCCATGGAATGAACGCTGCACTACTTCGTGAAACCCCAACAGTCCCAGGGTCGCTCTGTTGACCCTATTTATCTACAGGCTTTTTCACACTGCAGAGCCAATCCCTGGGAAATAAATGTCCTGGAAAATCCTGGGAATTTTTTTACCCCACCAAAACCCCAGAAACTGTTCACACTAGACCCATTTGGTAATTCCTAGGGACACCACCATGTATTTCCCGGGAATATGCAAGGTCGTTTCACACTGGTAATCAAACCTGGGAAATGTGTAAACAGGGGGTGACCCGCGAGTGATGCGCTCGCATCCTCACTCATGTACACAGTAACAGAGTAACAGTGCGAACACATCCTATAAATACACATACACGAGAAAGAAGCAGAACACAATCTAGCTCACGACACGTCTTTTATTACGTCATAAAACCATTCATTTTTTTTGCAAAATCTGTCCCCCCTTCCAAAATGCTCACTGGGCCAATGGACTTTGATTAGCCAACGCATTGAAAATTCTTGGAGGTGTACTATTGTGAAACGCCTGTATTGTACTGATTTCTGCATGTCGTAATGTCTGAATGTGCTGGTGGATTTTTCATTACCTGTACGTATATGTACCTACAACACACATCTACAAAATGGGTTTGCTCTGTATGCTTCAGGGTGTGACAGGTTGAATTGCTGAAGGTGTAGGAAAGGAGCTGCATCCCCCCAAGAACCCCCCCCAAAAAAACAGAATGCCTAAAACAAATAACAGTGTAAACAGACAAACAAAATGTTTTATACTTGTTATGCAGCCAGCAGTGTGGTATGAGGTCCACCATGTTTGCCATGAGTCCCAATAGCTGCATCCATTCTGCTCCTGGGGCCAGTGTCCCGTTGGGGAATAGTCGAATGCACTGTTGGCACCCCGGTGTCTGTCGGAAAGGCCATATTGGATTTAATGTCGAGTACAGTTCCCAGGAATGAGGGTGTCTATGCAAGGATTCGGCTTTATTTCTGCCATTCCTTTTTGGTGTCAGAAAAAAAATGATAGGAAACAATATGATCTATCTGCCAATGGAACTATACAAGTTGCAATCTTCATGAGGAAGGACTCGATTTTTACCTCCAAAGCTAGGCATCTTGCTTCGTGGGTTGGGATTTTGGTTTGACGAATGATGGTGTCCAATGAAGGGGTGCTCGTGAATTCCAGAACGTAAAAGAACTGAATTGTTTGGAGCACCCAGCAGTAAGAAACGTGGTCTGATACAAGGACCCCTGGAAAATTGAAGGCAGTTGCCCATGGGTCCCAGACTGGGGGGTCACCAAGGCTCTGGAAAGTCAGTGATGCCAACCCCTGGAACGGGAGACCAGTGGCTTTTATGACTGACCACTCGGATGGTAGGGTTGTTTTCAGCATTTGTCAAAGGTAAATGCCATTGTTTTTCTCTTGGCTGAAGCAGAAGTATGACGGCAAAATGGCCTGGACTTTCGCAGGGCATCCTGCAGCAAGCTGGAGTGCAAGGTTTTGTCTGATATAGGCTGGATTTTAACGCCGACTATTAGATTTATCCTGTCCATTACATCGATGCATTTAACTTCAGCCTCCATTGCTTCCTGGAATTTGCCAGTGAAGAGGTCTGGTCCATTCAAGGGGAAAGCTTGAATGTTTTATGGCTCCTTCAGATGGGAGGAAGAGGGCATTTTAAACATTGCTCAACAGGACATGCGCATCAAGGTGTGTTTGAACTGCTCAAGAGTCAGGTTGACAAAGTCACTGAGACAGGAAAAGGCCACAAACACCATACCAGCAGGATAGAGGTGTTATCCTTGCAGCCCCTCACAAGATATTTGGACAGCAGGAGCATGAAGGATGTGGCACGCATGCCCAATCTGAAGGCCCAGTCAGCTTCCTTGAGGACAGTCTCCAGCCTGTTTTTGGCAGGGTTGGCAAACTAATTAGGCAACGAACCAGATGCGCTTCCATCTGTGGCCAGTTTATCTTCGGCCATGTCCGAAACTAGGAGCACCATCATGTAATCTTCAGTTTTTGGCCAATAGTGAAAGCATCGATCACTAGTTGCTGCCCAGTGTTTCCAGTTCGCAATATTCTGAAGCTGCTTGATGCAAAGCTGGTCTACTGAAAGGACGTCATCATGACATCACCTACATTTTCATCTTTAACCCTAACCTTCCCCAACCACACAAAATTAAACAGTAGTGTTTAATTCTGTGGGGATAGGTCTGGTAGGCCCATAACAGCTGGCTTTTGCATTGGGTTTGGCATACCTCAGACAAACAAAGTCCAACAGCCTCTGTGCACAAAGTCCCATATGGGTGTTTAACTTTGTGCGAATGGGGAAGGTTAGGGCCAGCCACCCTTGGGGGTTAGGGTTAACCATTTCCTGCCGGGTGCTTTTAAAAACGCAGTGTCTACATATCGGCGATTTTCAACATTTTCAGTTTTCAAAATTCTTCAAAACTTCATTATTTCATTTACTGGATGTTTACACCAACACGAATGACTATCTGGTGGCTACTCTAATCTGACTGGCAAAATCAAATGATGCCCGAGTATTTCAGCTAGGCCTGCCGCCCAGTAAAGAGACTGAGCCCAGAATTGCGAGGTGTTGCGTAATTTCCTTTAATCCCAGTGAATGCCAGTGGAGTCTTTTCAAATGCGGCTGGATTAGCTTGCAGCGGTACTGTATCATTCATTGATGGGGAGCTGGAGCACTTTTGTTCCTGGTGCCATGGGATGAGCACGCTGAAAACAGTGGTATACTGTTTCAAAACAATGACGGATTCCTTCCAATTAATGCAAGCTGAAAAATGATGGCAAATCCCAGCAGCGGGTCTTTTGTTCTAAGTATAGTCTTTTGTTACAAGGCCCAGCTCTTTTGTTCGATTTCGGGCACCACGGCTATGCATACACACCCAAAGTACCCGAAATCAGGTTCTCCAGCAGTATATGGTTAACACACTTCATCTGGCTTACATACGTAGTTACAACTTAACAGGATTGGTAGTTCTGGAAATATCGGCCTTACCAAAATCAACCTACATGTATAAGGCCTTGTCTCATGACTTGTTACATGTACATGTATGAGGTCAGCACGACTTCAACATTAAGTGCACATGTTTAAGGTAGCTCATTAAATCTCAACTGGGTTCAAGTTTGATAAAGAGTGAAATATAAAAAATGGCCAAAGAGCTGCCTGGCAAAAGTATGTACAATGGGAAAAAGAAAAAGGAAAAAAGAAATTGCGAAATCAATGACTCTTAAGAATAAAAGAAAAGACAAAATAGACAAACACAATGGCTTTCCTACAACTTACTGCAAAGCCAAATATCATTCCCTACATGTTATCATCTGGATACCTTTAGAGTGCTTTCCTTGTTGCCTAGCAACAAATAAGTGCCAATCATGACCATGTGGACAGCCCTTGGTGGTTTGTTGTAGCTGCGAATTTCAGCCACTGTGCTCTGCTTGAGGTTCAGAATCTCATCCTTCAGACGCTTAAGTCGCTTGAGACCAAGGAGCATTTTGTTGGCTCGCACCATTTCTTGAGGCATGTGACCTTCCAGCGAGTACTTCTTGACAAAGTCAATAGCCTTTTCTAACTCCTCTAGGTTACGGTGTTCCATGGCTTTCAGCAGGTCTGCAGTGACAACAACACCATTACACTCAGTACAATCTTCAGCTAATGCAAATATGAAGCCTTAGTCAAGCTGGTTGGCATTTTAATACAATCAACCCTGGAGAAGTATTAGCTCTCTGAACAATGTAAATGTATCAGTCTTTTTCTATTTCATTTTGTCAGTTTACATAAATATCAATGACATAACCATAATGTTTTATTTTGTAACCAAGCAACATTCTTCACCATTAACTGCATACATGTATAACACATAAGAAACAGTAATTAAAACAAAGGATGTTTGCATCTGTAGCAGCACCATTTCTCATTGAAAGCATACACTACATTTAGATGTTCAAAAATCTGTAACTACAAACAAATATTCAAAGTTTAGTTCACTTATCATGTTGACATAAGTTAATCATAGATTTAAGGTTGCAGAATTAGAGAATGGTGAATTGCTTACCATCTTTGGCTTTGAACTGAGTGAGTATCTTCTCTGCTTTGTGTAGATCTCCATCTGTGTCTGCTAATTTGGCTTTCTTGAACTCATCCACAGACTTCGTGAGCAGTATGCGATCTTTCTGCTTAATTGCCACCTTCAGGTCCTTGCGGATACGCTCGTTACGTTCACCTGAAACCAATTTTAATTTTAAACTTGTGTTTTGAATTTACTGATAGCACAGGAGCCAGGTACTCTAAGGAAATAGCAAGAATAAAAGGTGCAATCAAATTGCCATCTTACACAAACCTTAAAAATAAACCTTTTTTAAGCATTCCTTGCAGCCTGGTTTATCAAAATTTCTCCACCAAAAAACCTTTGTCTAGAAAATGAAACAGTGACAGAAATGTGAGAAATTATAGGTTGTGGTTTAAACCTGTCAAACCATAGCATGAATGCCCTGAAATTAAAGGTGTTATGAAGTGCCCCCCCCCCACAATTTTGGGCTTTAAATATTCTCTGGGGCATTGTACATGTATAGCATTCTGGTAAGGTTTTCCCTTACAATTGGGAGGAATGCATTATTACTGTATGTGATGGTATGAATATCCCATGGAAAAAAGGTTCAGTCCCAAAAATACTCTCCAAATTTTACAGAAAAAAGTAATTATACAATATACATATATACAATATCTTTGTGCAAGTTCCATATTTAAATAGGGAGGTTGACTTGAAAATCTCACTTCAAGGCAAAAATATTGCAGAAAACATTCCATGTATTGGAAATCAATGCTTCATATCAAAGCAAACTAATAAATAACTACGCCGTAGCATGCCAAAATTGGCAAATTAAGATTTAAAGTTGGCGTATAAGCCACACCAAATATACATATAAGCTGCACCAAAGCACTGACAGTCCAACCACGAAAGACATCATGCTACGTGCTGAAGCACCAATATAGCATGTAGTGTGTGTGATGGTATAGTCACCAGGTCCCTTATTTTGCCACTGACTGTGAAACCAATGAAACTTAATAACAGGTGGAAAAATTAGGGACCTTGCAACTATACAGTCATGAACATTACAATATGTCAATGGTTCCACTACACGTGCAATCCTAATAAACGTAAGCACAATGATAACAAGTGTCAACATAAAACGGGAATTTGAAGTCCTCAAATTTAATACTTTTTGTGGGCTGGATGGTGGTCAATTGTCCCATGTTGCGTGCATCAGCTCTTGCCTTTTTTCCAGAGGCCAGCAAAAGTTACATGTATACAGTCAGGGACATACAATAAAATCTTAGTTACTTGAAGTTGGTGAAGTCAAAAGATAATTTTATCTCATAGGCAGACTAAATCTCTTGCCAAAAGAATCGGCTTTTATAGAAAGAAAATACCTCTGTAAGTTTCTACAACACTACATGTACATCTACATGTAGTCGTCTCAAGGTTTTTGTGACACGAACCAAAAAAACCACCGCCAATTCGCTTCAAAAATGAAAAGTCTGCTTCAAGACCTTGGTTCGAGTCATCATACTGGAACCAGTTGCGTTGCATGCTTGCTGTATGGCACACACGCACTGCATGAACAACCGCTATTGTGCAAACCTTGTTTTCAGGCTAGCCTGACTGCTACCGCGGACCCATTTATGGACAATCCAATCACTGACTCTTTTCAATAACCACGTGACCATAGAGAGTGTTGTCATCAGAAACCCAATTGAAAAAAAAACCTTAAATTCTGTGGCATAACATGCTGAACACGATCGGCAAAATGACAAATATCTATTTCAAAGATGGATTTGCACCAGGGAGATGTACCTGTATTTAACACTGTATACTCCGTGTATGCCCCCAGAAGGCTTGGGAAAAAACCCACAAGTGTACTCGTGTGGGACTCGAACCCACGACCTCCTGCTTACTACTGCAGATGTCTTAATCACTCGACCACCGAGCTTGCCAGTGTCGGCTGGCTGGTTCGAATCGGATGTAGTAGCGGGTACCTAAAACAACTATTTCAAAGATGGTTTTGCACCGGGGAGATGTAAATTAATTTTGGATTTTGCCCTGCCCTGTATTTAACACTGTATACTCAGTGTATGCCCCCAGAAGGCTTGTGAAAAACCCACAAGCAAATATCTGCCACACGAAGGTATACCATTGAAGCGGCTGATTTTTATTTAACGGTAGAAAGAAATCTTTTAGGTTACAACAATAAAAAAATCTTAATAAAATGATTAATTGTCTGCAAAATATACACCATGAGATTGAATAAAAAGTGGAAAAATAATCACTAAAAATGTTGTCACAGCAGAGCAAGTAAAGTTTAAGATTATGTACACATTTCATGTATGTGTTTTGAGACTCCATGACTTGGGGAATTCTGTTAATAACCTGAAATCTGGACAACTTGAATCTTTATTTATTCTCCAAGGTTCGAGTTTTCAGTTGTAAGCAGCAACCAATGAAAGCATGACTGTGCCACCTGTAACTGGTACGCGTGGCCCTGTCATGACTTTCGTTACTGATTTTGTCCTCTTAAGTTTGCTGTTTAAGCTGCCGGCATATACATGTAAGCCGCACGAATATTTTTCAGCATGAGAATCAATGTATAAGTTGCAACTTATATTCAGAAAATTACAATACTTGTGTGTGTTAAGCACACTATGAATGAGCACTGTTGCATGTTGTGAGTATGAATGATTTGGGACTCAATCAAACATGCATACTGCAGAGAGACCACTCAGTACAGACAGAACAGTGCAACTGTGTTTGGCTTTGTGTGAGGACTAGTGCATACCACACATTGTCTATTCATCATGCACCTGCGGTTTCAATGGGGCCTGATGCTGGACAGAGCTTTGCATTCTGGGCATATTGCAGCCCAGCAGTCACGGTCAAAAGAATCCCCGTTAAGGAGTTAAAGTTAAACCTGTTAACACTTTGGGATAGGCACTGCAAACAGGACATGTGAAAAGGCGCCTTTCCATATGCGTATTAACATTTGCACCTAGCATTACGTATCCAAGAAAATCACTCCCCAAGCAATTGTAACGGCTGAACACAGTGCACACATATTTATGGAGTCAATTTCTGTGTCTGTGAAAAGGAAATGCATGAATGCATTGTGTACACAACGTACCCAAAAATGTACATATGGAGGGGCGCTAAAGTCACCAATGGTAAAGATTCTTACGTTTAACCTTCTCCCTAGCTGCTCTTTCAGCTTCCTCTGCAGCTTTCTTGGCAGCAGCATCTTGCGCATTCTTGATGGCTTCCTTGGCTCGGTTAGCTTCCTCTAAAGCCTCTTTCTCTCTTGCTACTGCAAGCTGCAGTATGTAAACCAACAAAAGTTGTACAGAGGTTCATCACTTTGTTCCGTCATTACCTTTATCATAAACTGACCTATCACCAATTTTACTTTAGTTTCTCCTGAGAACACTTAAGGCACAGCATTAAGAATTTTTCTAGGGTTGTGTTGTAAAAGCTGCAGCTTTAATGCACAATATACAAGTGAGAAGGACATCAGTGTTTCAAGCATTCCAAGTTAATTCTAAAGTACCTCATCAGCTGTAAGTACCGGTACCACTATCATCATATTTATCATCACTGATAACAGAATTAACATCTCCATAATGATCAGCATCATCAACATCAAAACCTCCATTATCACTTCAATTCTACATGTATGTGTATGATATGAGCAACATCCTTCACCATCAACCTATCATCATCAGCAGGATGACTTGCCTCTGCCTCTTCTTCTGCATTCTTGGCCAACTCTTGTTCTTTTTTCTCTTGTTCCTGTAGCTCTCTGGCCTTTCTTTCTACCTCTTTCTGTGCTTCTAAGGCCTGCTGGACCTCAATGATCTCTAGTTCCCTCTGTCTCTCCCGTTCCTTCTCTTCCTCTAGTTTCAACTTTTTCCGTCTCTCCTCCTCTTCCCTTTCCCTTTCCTCTGCCTCCTTCTTTCCCCGTGCTGCAGAATTCCATGGTAACATGTAACAGTAACTTTTAAATGCCTCCAGGATTTAACTTCTAAAGTTCAGTTGACAACATCCACTTTGCCACAACTAGCGATTAATGTGCTGGTAAAACTGATGCAGCGACTGAAGTCCAATGATTATTTCATTACTGTGCTTCTTGAATCCATACCATTAGCAAGTAGTCTCAGTGAAAATACTTCCATGTCTCTGAGGCTGACTCTTTTTAGGCCTCAATTTTTTTCCTGGAAAATTCATGTCATGGCCCAGTGTCACTGGAGCTCAACGATACATAGATGTGCATGCCCACATAGAAACCTGCAAGCACGAGCCAATAGTTTTGCTTACTGCCACTAGAAATTAAAGTCCAGTGGTCATACATGTATATATTTCCACAAAGTAAAGTGGGCAATCTCAACTGTTTAGGATGAACCACATGAAGTCTGTACTTACGACTAACACAATGGAATGCCACTATAACAAACACTACTATTAAACTTGAATGACTGCATATGTACATTGTATGCTGAACATGCCCCTTGGCTTTCACATTTCTATGCATTTTCACTGAACACTGAAAATTTGTTTCAAATATAAAAAACATATTAAGATTGATGATAATGACTCAAAAGTTGGAAAATCGTACTCGCAAAGGAACAACACTGCACAGTCCGTATCGTTTGTGATTACATGTAGATGTATGTGCTACGCAAGAGTGAAGGGGTGCGTGGCCAGGCAGACAAACCACTGAGTTGATGCGTGTGAAACAGGTGACTCTTATGTGGAAAACCTACTTTGTGTAATCACTACAAAGGCAAGGATTTGGGCCTTGAAACACATGCAGATAAATTAGCTTTTGAAACTTACATCGCAGAAATGTTTGTTAAATACTTTGCTAGATTTGAGCATTTTGAAAAGTGCTTGCAGACTCTGTTGCCAACTTTGGTTATGTACATGTACCTTGGCACAATAGAATGGTTCCTGGACAATGTTTTGATTTAGCAGCAGGTACCAGTGTAACTGCACTGCAAAGTGATTTTTATGTGATGGCTCAAGGGAAATGTATGGGAAACCTGATTTCATTTAGTGAATTGACTTCTACTGAGAACTACCCAAAAGGAGAATGGAAGGAGTTGAACATGTATAGAAGAAAAGCACAGGTTTCATGTTACTCATTTCTAACTTGAGTTTTTGTGTTGGAATATTGGCCCCAAATACTGATATACATGTACATGCAGAAACATAAGGCAGACCACAATGTTTGATTGGGCCAGGAGTCTCCAGAGATGGAAACAGGCACATCTGATATTCAGCGCCTGAAATTCTCTGTACCCAACCTGACCACTATGACTATACCAAATATTTTGAGTGGACCCCACCTGTTTGTTAGAGTGGCACATGTGCATTATATTGGTTCATGTACAAGAACAATGCGTAAGACTGTGCCCTGTCACCAAGCTTACATTGCTGCATTTAGAAGCATCTACAAAATGAGCACAAGGAATTCTAAAAGCGCAAATGATGGCATTTCTGCACATATTCAGTGAAACCAAGATTTCTCATGACATCTTTACCTTCCTCTAATTTTCTTCTTTGTTCGTCTTCTCTCTCTTTCTTCATTTCCTCTTCCTTCTTTTTCTCAGCGGATTTCTTTTTCCTTATTTCATCTTCCTTGTTGAGTTGATCTGCCTTCATCTTGGCCAGTCTTTCAAGTCGAGCCTGTTCCTCTGCCTGTTTCCTCTGCTCTATCTGCTTGGCTTTCTCTATATTAACACACACAATTTTGTAACAGTTGTCAAATTCCATGTCTTGTTAGATGGCCCCCGCAAACAACATCAAAAATGGATCAAAGATTCAGTAATTAAGTTGTTTTGATGACTGTATCTGTTTCATTCATTCATTTATTGTCAAACAATGCAAATAGCCATTGTTTGTAGCCATTGTTTGACATGCATAAGGGTTTATCCACTATAAACACAGGGCAAGGGTTCCCATTGTTTTCTCTATTTTCTCCACATGCATGACATGATGCAATCAACATTCAGAATTCGCATATTGTCAGGAAAAAAAAAACCACCTTTTTAGCTTGATATATTTGAGCTCTGAAGACAAATGACACTGTGTTCGATTTGGATGCTTGCATATTTTGTTGAATAAATAAATTAGAAAAACATGTTTTCCTTAGAGGTGCTCTTTAAAGAAATGAAATTTGTATCCTAGACAGCTATCGATAAATGTTTGTTGTTCAAAGGTGTATCATTTCACAATTGTTTACTTCAGGGTAGGGGTCCGTGGTGTTTGTACACCAGAGGGGCAAATGGCACTCTAGGCGATGCTGAGGGTGCCACTTGCCCAAAGGTGTACAAAACCCATGGAGACCCATCACTGTAGGCAACAGTTGTTTTGTTACACCAAGCACTGTATGGAGAAAATTAAAATGAGAAGTCACTGGCCTCAAGAAAAAAGGCACCTGGTCAATTTTTGTACACACTGTACAAACATTTTCAAAATACCCAAGTTACATGCACATGTACAAAATCTGACAAAACAGACAGAAACATCATTCTGTCAATTATCCGCAGGACAGACAGGCTTTGGATATTGTGCTCATAGAATAAATCAAGAATGGCAACCAATTATATGAAAAACAAAAATACATGTAGCTGAAGGAAAAGACAAGGCATGTTTGTTCTTTATTTTTGAGTATTTTGTACAGGGACCGGACTGGACCGAGGGAAGCTTGAAACCTTTGGGTTTCAAACTTACATTTGGGACTGAAACAAGTGAACTGCACTGAGATCATAGCATGCATAGACTGCTCGTGCATCTAATAAATATAGACGTCTCAGTTCCCAAGACACAAACCAGTCGACTTGGGTACCCAGTACCTGTACGTGCCTGTACGTAACTAAATGAAAGCTACAATGTATGTGTACATTGCCATGAACGTGGGCTCATGCTGCATACATGTACATAGTCAGATGGAGAACAAGCTGTGTGATCACAGACACATTTCTCGGTGCACATAGAAAAAATAATTGGCAGCGATTGTTCATGAAATATGACTGACAAGGTGGGCGACTGACGGACACAAACCATGTTTGCCATTGGCGATAAGAATTAAACATTTGGTCGCATATCATCATTTTTTAGGCACAATGCAACTACAAATTGAAACACGTGAAAAGGAAATTAGATATTAAATATCAAGGAAAATTATTGATTATGATGTCCTTTGTTGACCTATTTTTTGGGGGGGAGGAGAAATCTAAGATTTATAAAAAATTTGTTTAATAGAGAAACCGCGGATTTATAATGCCCTGGGGGTTTTGTTGATTGGTTGAATTTCAAGGCATTACACCACCAATTCTATTGAAAGTATTGACAAGATTGAAGAGCAGATGAGAAGAGACAATGGCATGAGCATTTTATGTAAACAGCAATGGCGATTACAGCAGAATAGCAATCACAGCACACTCGTTTTCGTCAAGTATACATGTACCCTCGGTAGCTGGGTGCAAAACCAAAAGTTAATAACCAGCAGGTCTCTGTCTTGATCAGAGTGAAGAGAGTAGCATATACGAAAAGACACAGTGCTTCAGTGTCCCCCACACAGAAACCATCTCCTACAGTAATTGCCGCATACTGCCAATGTGGCTGTCAACCCTCATACCCAACATTACACAATTACAATGCAGTAGACACGAAACATCAACTGTTCTCCATCATTTTTTGTAACGCATGAATGATACACTTGCTCTTGTAGCATATCACGTGGTCAGTTCACGACCAATAAAAATTCACTATCCACGTACATGTATGACCGTGGTAGAGCAACTAAAGTCCTGCATTATACGCTGTTCCAAGAGATGATTCATTCCTAGATAATTAGACATACACACATACCCTTTCTAAACATCCTTGATCCATTTAAAGTCTTTAGAACAATAACTTCTATGATACATGTACAACTCAATCATTACAAATGCGAACACCACCATGACACACACAGATAAAACTTACCGTTAATTTCAGTTTTTTCAATGTGCATCTGTGAACATTAAACAAGCTTCCACTTGAAAAAAGATAGTCTTACTAAACTCTTTATTTAAAAGTTAAAATACAGCTGCTGAAAAAAGGTGCAGTAAAGACTACAATAACTTGAAAATGCATTGAACACTGATGCTGCATCAACTACTTCTGCTCTGCTTTCTGTGTCTGCTCCTGTGTAGGCACATGTACCAATGAGGTCTACAGGGAATGTGTAATTGTCAAACTAGTGTGTAATAATATGGACACTATATTGTCAGCATTTTTCGGAAAAATTGGAAAGTGTCATCTTTAGTTTTTTTCAAACATTGTCAGAAGTTGCAGGCAGGGTGGGCAGCATGAAAGCATTCAGACTATTGCAAGGAATTATCAGAGTACCACGCCCAGGATTAGAACAAACTTAAGTCACAACTCAAACTTAATCATAAATGTTTGTATAAAGTTATTATCCTGTCTAAGCAGCAAATACCGGTACATGGAAAACATTATGACAATGAAAACAGAACTCCTCCCAACAGTGAGTTCAATGAGTGACTATTTAACAAAAAGCTCTTGAACTCTACCAGTGGATGGAACCCTTAATAGCTTTTCATGGAAGTGATGAGTGTTGTAAATGTAAGTGCCAAACTTCCTCTGTTGTTAATCCTTCTTTGGTGATTTTCCCAATGTATTGCTAAGTAAATGTATTAGTCATTTGTTTTTCTGTATTAATGCTGCAGGAAATTTTGCATTGGTGCTGCTGAGACATATTAAAGTTTGAAAACTGTCTTCTGATCATTTCCATGGAAAAGTAAGATATTTATACTGTTAATCTCACTTGCACCATCTATTGTTGGAAAGGATCAGTATGAATAACACTTCCAGTTTGCCAGTTGCTTTTTGTGTTTTGTTTTGTTTTTGTTGTTGTCTCTATTGCTTTTGGTGGCCACATGATGCTTGACAATCAGTTTGGATGATTTACCAACTTGATGGTAAAACACAACACACAACACACAACACACAACACAGTGTCCTTGCCAGCACCAGTTTGCATGCCCTGGCTACCATGGCACTCAGACAAATTCTTTTGTCAGTAAATTTGGGACCAACATGTTGGGACAAAATTTGCTCCATAACGATTTGGGTCTCCACAGCAACTATTGTTCAACACATATAGTCCCCATAAATACAGGTTTTCCCCTGTCTGTGTCTTTTTTAATTTGCAAAGACATCTTGTATTCAAACACCCTTTGTTCAAGCACCTGCTGACCCAATTTTCCTACCTTCTTTTTGCCTGTGTTCCTCCATCTCTTCATATGCCATATCTGCTCTGCTTGGGATGTTACACAAATCCACCTCAATCTCAGCAAAGCTGATACCACTTCCAGGAACTGGTCGATTCTTCAGAAACCTCTCCCACTGAAGCTTGGAGAACAACTTGCCATGTATGGCTTCAAACATGAACCTGGCAAGATTTACATGCACCGTATAAATCTATATAAGATGAAATAGCCTAAATAAATGAACATGAACCAGACATGTTCATGCACAATTGACCATTTGTCATCTGCTGTGATGTTTTGTCACTACCTGGTAAACTTACACGTACATGTACAATACATCCTACAAGCTCGAAACACTAAGATTTATATACATGTACTTATCAGACTTGAAATCAAGTACCGTAATTGGCCGGGTGTAGTCCACCTTCCTCGTAATGCATATGCAGTGCAGTTGGGCGTGCAGTTTAATAACAGGCAGGAATGGTCAGTGCAACCTCGCTCCCCAATATGCATGTTCAGCAGTGCCCAATTACCAACTTGAATAACCTGCAAGCCCTTTTGCACACAGCAAACTGGGCTTGCTACCAAAATTGGACTGAACACCCAGAGTCTTGTTCATTGAAGAGGATGTTTACATTATTCTTAAAAGATGATTTAACATAAAAGCATCGGTTTTTCACAAAAATATACTTAGCATAATAGATTTCTTCTTGAATAGTTACATGTACATGTATGTATACTTTGTCTTTAAGTGTCATATTAAAAGGGATATTAGTGGAAGATTTGAAAAACTGGCACTTATCAAATATAGACATGTATCCCTACATATAAAATGGATGAGTTTCTTAATTGTACGGTGTATGTAGCATGAGTTACTACTGATGCTTTGCACGGAAATGTATGAATATGCAGTGTAGTTGTTGCATTTACAAGTATGATTATCCATCCAGAGTCAGGTTGATCAAGTCTTTAGGCAGGCATTGAAATCCAGTACTGAACAGCCCACAACCACGCTGGATTGCGAGCAATGGTGAACAGGCTCAGCACTAATTGTGAAATGACGCAGCTAGCTGATTTATATTGTTCTGGACGACCAACTAACGACTAGATTTCAAGTCTACATACATGTACTTGTATGCATGTACACAGTATGCCACATCCTTGACAAACTGTCATGGTACATTCAAATTGCCGTAAGCAATCTTAGAATGAAATGAAAACCCCACTTCACATAGTTTGCGTTATTACTGTAAATTAGACAGTCAAAAACACACAAATCTTGATATACATGTACTGATACAAGAATATGTACACATATTTGCATTGTTACGAAAACTCTTTTAAACCAGAGTTGCATGAAATGTTAACTTTTCATTGAACACATGTGTTTGTCAAACGTGATCTTCATTATTGAATATTTAGCAAAACACTTTCCTCCCCTAAACTGAAAAAGTTAGATAAAGTAAGCATTAATGCATTAAAAGCATGCACACAGCACACAACAATTCTTCCAATTATGCTGTGGAACACTAGAAAAAAGGATGCAATTTCTTCAAGTGAATCTGTCTGTATTGTTCACCTTGTCAAATCTCAAAATAACTTAACTTTGGAAAACAGTTCATAGTTTATGCACCAGCATGCATGTTCAAAATTGTGACCAACTCTTTAAAAATGAGACAAAGTCATTTTGCGTTAGAAAAGAGAAAACTGAACCCTTTATAATCACATGGTATCATGGTATCCTGATGAAATGGACATTGTGTAGTTAGGACTGACCAGTGTTATTATTCAAAGAGTTGATTTCAGGTTTAAGTGAAGAATATGGGCCATTAAACTGGGTACTAGAATAACGGCTAAGCTGAGTGTATTTAACATGAATTTTGATGAGTTATTATTCCTACTAACCTTGCTTGATCTTCTGTGATTAAATCATTTTGGTGCCTGTCTAATAGGGCAAATTCCCAACGAAAGTCTTGCAGTAGGAAATAGCGTCGATCTAACTCTTGCAGAAGAGCAAACAGCTCGCTGGGCTCACATGTATCATCTGTCAAGCAGCAGTAACTCATAGCAGCCTGGACCTGAAGTTGACAGTTGTATGAATGAATAAATGATGTTGTTTACCATTAACAAAAACGGAGAACAAAATCCCACAATCAATGCATTAGGCCACAATCAATCTACTACTACTACAATGTACGATTTGTTATGGGGGAACCACGTACATTTACACACACATATTCTGCTTTACCCCTCCCCAAAAAAGCCTCTGAACAGAAGAACCCTCAAATTTGCTGCTGTCATTTTTCTGTGTTGTTGACAATGAATAACAACATTTATGATACAAAATACAATAAGGGGAGCTGGTCATGCTTGATAGCAGTATTTTCCTAGTGGTTATAAATTTCTCCAAGAGTTTTGACACCCTCAAACCTTCTTTACTTGTGAATACAATGTACATGTATGTGAAGGCAGGCAGGCTGTAGGTTAAGTAGAGCAATAGAATACTTTATGTTACTGCAAAGTTGTTATCACATGGACAGTGCAATTCCCAGTACAATTCCTTTTTGCAGACAAATATTGATAGAACAAAACTCAGTTTTGACATTAAAATAGACACTGATTTTTGTTTCAAACAGAATCACTATCTATGGTCTCCATCCAATCAAATGCTCAGCAATGATACACACAAAGAACAGGTTGGGGATTGCTTGAGGCACAGCACATACCGGTATGTATGTATGTAAAAACCACCTGCTTTTTAAATCATTGCTTTATGATAGTAGCTACTGGTCCCCTTGGAAACGGCCATGGCCACAAAAAAGCTTGAGCAGCCCATGCAGAATGTAAATAAACAACCTCCAATGCAAGTTTCTCTCAACTTCTCTGGAATTTTTTGCGTTTTTCTCAGAAAAATGCTCCAAACTCATCATAGCTACATGTACACGTATTACTGTCTGGTCAAATTTGTTTGTTTTTTGAGACAAAAAAAGCACCATTCTCATGCAAGATCAATCTCATCAGGCCGATGAGAATGTCAAAATCCTGGCTTTCAATCTGTTTGTGGCTATGCCTGTTATTTTACCCCCTGCCTTTGAAATTTTAAGCCAAATACAAACTAGAGGGACATGGTCGTTAACAACCACAGAGCTGTTCCAAATTTTCTTTTTTTAAATTTTTGTTTACATTTTGGGCATTTGGGTATTCCGTAATTGAACAAAAACTGCAGCTTCAATCTGGTGTCATGTTATCCCTGATAACATCACCATGATGATTTTATTTTGACAGCCCCTTAGGGGTGCACCCTCGTATTTAGGCCAGAATTATGTCCACCGAGCTCATTTATAAAAGTTATACACTAAATATTCTATATTAGAGGGTCCTGAGAGCCATGGAACTGAGGAATTGAAGAAATATGAGACTGGACCTCTGCGCCGGACTCGAGGCTTCCAATTCAGAGCAATTTGGATACAATCGGGTTTGAAAGTGGCACTATTTGAGCCATTTTGCCGAGGAATGGTTTTTCAAAATGGCTACTTTTTTGGACAGGGACATTTTCTGCATTTTAGGCGTGGTCTGCTTCTGGTAACAATTTCTCAAAAATTCATTGGT